GCCCACACTCCGACGGAATGGTAGAAAATCGCCATAAAACCATTTGCCAGTATCTTTCAATGTTCTGCTAGCCTACCGAAGTTCTGAGCACGAATCGACCAGTTATACTCCATCTATGATTACTGGAAGGAAAATGAAGCTTCCCCATATTCTTCTTTTTGGAACACAGCCTTATAGTACACCTCCTACGGACGTTCAGCAGTCAAGAGAAAGATTAGAAAAGATTGACGGATTCGCTCGAGAAAGTTTGAAAGTCAACAGCGATGAAGCAACAGCTAGAATGGACATGCATACTACAGGGACACATTTTAAGAGAGACAAACCAGTATGGCTGTACAATCCTAAGTGCGCCGAAAATGACTTTGTCAGAAACTGCAACGGAACTGGGAAGGCCCCTATACTGTCCTCAAGAAAATCAACCACTTAATCTACCGCATTCAGTTGTCAGCGAGAAGTACACCCAAGGTAATTCACATTGAAAAGTAAGCGCCATACCGTGGACCAGGTCTTCCCCGTTTGCTCGAACCAGGTCCCAGTAATCAAGTTATTCGGGACGAATAATTAGAGAGGAAGGAAGGAGCAATATTACCCTGCACCCTGCAGTAACCTGCATTTGTAAACGTACGGTTAAAGGAAGAAGTGCAATGTCACCCATCACCCTACAGTGTGTCGCAGTTGGTATAAGTAGAAGTGCGAATAAAAGAAGAGAGAACAGTCTAGAAATGTAATTTCTAGGGATGTGCACGAGCTTGTAAAGTTCGAGCGCTCGCGATCAAGCTCGAAAAATTGCAGCTCGAGCACGCTACAATGCAGCTCCGAACAATACGAGCGCATCGCGTACCGATACAGCTCGAGCGACTTATGATCCGAGCGTTCCGTACTCTGAATGAATCATTCAACATTAAATTTAATGGTGAAAAGTGATTAATGTGTTTCGGTCCCCGTAATATAAGTGTGATAAGAATACGTTTTTAACTTCATTTACGTTTACAGTAAGTATATAGGATTTTCTTAATTCGAATAAATGAAAATTATTTGATATTTCGAATAAGTAACCAGTCATAAACTCGGTCCATCTAAGCAATGGAGTGCTCGAAAACATTATCACGCCTTGTACACGTGATCTCACTGACGAGGCTGCTTTTACAGAGTCACACTAAGGGACGATCGAGGTTTTATTAATTTTATTAAATAATATGCAACTAGGTATGGAGAAATTACTCGATGATAAGTTCATTACCGAGAGTTCAAATGATTCGGAGTACGGAACACTCGGATCGTTCGAGGCTCGAGCCGAGCCGATACGCGAGGCGCTCGAGCCGAATATTATACAGGAGCCGCTCGGGCATCGGACTGGTTGTACTGTTCGGAGCTCCGCTCGAGCGTGATCGAGCAATACAAGCAAAAACCGAGCCTGCTCGATCAAGCTCGTGCACATCCCTAGTAATTTCGTGTCAAGAAACATCTGGAAGGTCCAAAAAATCGAGGGAGGTATATAAGGCGATGACCTTGACGTTTTAAGAGTTCAGTTTTATGATGGACGTTGTATATTACTGCAACAGTTGTATTGTAAAAGCTTGAGTTTGCAAATAAATTGAGTTTACCAATAACCAGCGCAACAGTATGTTGATCCAATTCGATGTCCTGATGATCCCCTTTCAATTGCTCCCGGGCTATCTGGATTGCATTTTTTTGAATTGCGTTTTTGAAAAAAATTCGATTTTTGAGAACCCTGCGAAAACGGCTAGTCCATAATAAAAAAATCTTGCCCAGTCTTCATCTTAAGGATATTTGTGAAACGGTGAGAGTACTACTCTAGTATTTATAGTTTACCCTCTAGAGCGCCCTGAAGAGAGGCATGTCTTGTAGTTGATGGCCATGTTACCATGTTTTGCTCTGCTTCATATCTCAGTCATACTAGACTGCATTTTTGATTGATTGTCGGAAAGCATTCGTTTTTCTAATCAGTTTTCAAGAGAAATTAGAAGTGTTACAAAATGAAATTAAAAAACAGCAGATTTTGAGCGCTCGCCATTTCTTTAATTGTCGAACTATCGATTCGATCAAAAAACAATTGTAATGTATTCGGTTTTTAAAAAATTTGAATACGACCATCAGTTCAGCTCATAGCGCGCGCGAAATTAAAGCTGTGCAAAATATGCAAGCGTAGCCTTCAACGGCAAGACATGCTTCTCTTCAGGACACTCTAAAGGGTAAACTATAAATACTAGAGTAGTACTCTCGCGAGGTTTTTGTCCAAATATTCTTTAGATCAGGCCTGCAAAACTCAGATTTGAGAAACTGAAAGTGTACGAGAGCCAAGAGACGCCTGAGCCTATAGTGGTCTGTTCAGAGAAAAAAAAGTCCTCACGTTATAATTCTACACAGCTTTTCTAAAAAAAAGGTCGTCAGCCTAGATGCAAGTTTGTTACTGAAAAATGTATAGTTTGACGTAGGCATGCCAAACTGGTCAACGGCCGACGGGCCGCCAAAACGACAATGGCGGGCCGTATGTTGTGCAGGCCTGCTCTAGATGAAGACTGGACAATTCAGACTAGACATTTGCGCACCAGGACATCGAATTGGATCAACATATCAATTTTTAGCTTTATTCTAATTGTTCACAGGCAAATCTACTCCTGGCCTAATATTGATATTTCAGTTAATTTAAAATAAATGAAATATTGTTTTAAAATAGATATGTCAATATTGACTAAAATTAGATATTTAAGGGAAGAAAATGAAAAAGACCAAGGAAAACTGCTGATTTGGCAGCAAGCTGTAGAAATTGAAATATGAAGTGATCCACAATAAATTGTTTGTAAAGTAAATCTTGAAAAAAATTCACGCATGCCGGATTTAATTCAGAGTCGTAATTATTACGGACATGACTTATATCTGTCTTTGTCGGTCGTGGCCTACTTTAGAAACATTTTTATAAATCACTTTTTACAAAACTTACAAGGAGGATAATAAATCGGTTTAAGGATAAACAGGAAAAAATATTACTATTACTTATTTTATCTATGGCCTAATTCACAAAGCATCTTTAAATTTGCATGTAAAGCCTTAAAGATAGAAACGTTATTATAATAGTAGAGCTGGGCGATTTTCGACGAACTGTTATTTAATCATTTTAATCTTGGTAAAAAGGAAATTTCCGTTTTCCTATCGATTTCTTATACTTATTATTATTTTTTTAATAATTTGAGGAAACATAGTAGCGATTGTCCAGCTCTACTTTTTCTCAGAATTGAGGTTAAGGTTTATATCTTTAAGGATTTACACATAGGTAATTATTTAAAATAACCAATAATTCTAGAATTTGTATGAATTCCGGTACTAAATAATTGTGTGAAAATTGTTAGAATTTCCCCATTTATTGGTTAAGTTTACATATCGTTCGTGATAAAAGCGATTGTAATGAAATAATATTTTTAATTTTGCTTATATTTTGATTTTTATTTATTATTAGTAACTTTGTTCAATAAAACAATTTATATCAAGTATTTCCAAGATTTCCTTTAACTGTTTGACAATCGCGAAAAGATCCTAAATTCGCACAAGACGCAATTATATTCCGTTATCACTGTTACTCTCTACGCCACCACAAGTTTTAATTTTGTAATTTTCATTAATTTTCCAATTTACAATAATTTAGCGTTTGTTGTACAAAGTAAAGTACATTTATTCTGTTTCACGTTGGCATAAGTTTGTTAAGAGTAAATTTGTCAATTAAATAGTCTTCAGTTTTTTGTATAAGTGTTAATTTAGAATGGAATATATGAATATTCTTACAACGACTATTGACAGAACTTCAACTCAAGTGAGTACTACTCTAAATAAAATATATAATCAACGGAAACTTTTTATTTATTATATTTTTAGGAAATCGAAAATGTTGCAAGGCAAAGAAACTGCTCAATTATTTATTTAAAATGTTTACAATTGTTTTCCCAATGAAAATTCTCTAGCAATAATGTTACTTCAATGCGTGTTCACATTTCTTCATATTATATTAGAATATTTAAAGATGAACCAACTGCAGATTCATTTAAACTATAAAACGAGATTAGAAAAAGAAAACATGCAAAAAAATCGACAAGAGAATACATAATACGCCTGAACGAAGGGTATCAACAAACTCTCTTCACAAAAGAAAACTGCAAATTATGGAACTCAGTCTATGTCGACTTGACGTAAATCACCTTATCCAAAAATGTTTGCCAAGGAAGCTAAATCTATTTAAAGATGAGTTACCGTGTCAATGGTGGTGGGTGGGGTTTTCCGGGTTTTTCTCATCTGTAAGTCAAATGGGACCATCAATCATCTGTCATGTAATGGCCACCACAGCCACGGACATATAAGCTGTCAGACCGACGGCTGACGTTAAAACTAATATTAACTCACTGTTAATTAAAATTATAACATTTTAAGTTTACTGTATATGTAATAAATTGGGGACGAAATTCCCACTATTGATGACTCAAAGAAAATCCACACCTCATAACGGGGCTTAGTTACAAAACTATAATACTACGTGACAACTCAATAATATCATAATATGAAGAAACCCAAACAAAACTTTAAGAAACATTACAAAAATTACAAGATATACAGCACAACATAGAATTAGATATCCCGGAAGAACATCTTAACCAAGAAATCAATACTAAGTCCAATTTCGAAGAACGATGTACAATCATAAAAAACTAAATTTCTTAAATTACAGTCCGCCTATCGTACCTATACAGCCATCCGCATTACAGTCACAGCCTAATATACCTATACAGTAAGAGGCGAGTCCCAAAAATGAACTTCCAGCCTTTTCAAGAAACAGAAACATTTAAAATTTTTAAGAAAGGACTTACTGTATTTTTACTCCTGAATAAAATCGAAGACGCTAAAATAATGTGTATATTTTACTTGCTGCTCTACCCCCAGAATTGCACGATTTGTGCTCCCCAGAGGATCTGCTTAACATAAATTTTGAAAAACTAATGAAAGTACTAGACAACTACGTAGATCCAAAACCTAGCACATGGGCGTTACAACACAATTTTATCACACGTTTACAACACGAAGATGAAACAATAGCAACATACGCCTCAGAACTGAAGAAACTTTCATGGAACTACGAATTGAAGTGCCAAAATTATCAAAAATCTGCCTTAGAAAGTTTCCTATCTACAATTTATTCGAAGACTTATGGCAATGATATACGAACAAAAACTATTCAAGAACGAGATAAATCACATTTTACAAAATTGCTAAATATAGCTACCTCGGTAGAAATGGGAAAATCAGAAAACTTTAAAATGTACGTAAACTCAATTATTCACGTCCTGCATCCTCACGGCCAAGAAGTTAGCCATCTGCTTCATTATCATCTTCGATAACAATGAGAGACTTGAAAGAGAGATGTGGCAAAATCGACTACAGGTCTAATGAATGTGGTGCCATCAAACAGAGGCGGCTGATGAACAACATTTTGGGGGTTCACAGTAGCAGAATATAGATCTCGGTGCATGTTTAGGGTTAAAACTGTCAGTGTTTTAGAAAGGTATATTCTAAACTTTCTAAAACACTGAAAGTTTTTTCATACATCTGTACTGATATCTATATTCTGTCACTGTGAATCCCCAAAATTTTGGCCACGAGCCGCCTTTGCCATCAAATACAACTGCTTAAAATGTAAGAAAACTAGTCACCTGGCACGAGTATGCTTACATAAATTTTAAAATGTTTGTTATGGTTTTATGTAAATTTAAATATTGTTTTTGGTTTCTCCAACCTTGAGTAGGCACCCCTAGTATGGTTTGGTTTTTTAACCGTTAAAATAAAACAATCTCTCAGATATAATTTTTATATATATTTACAGTGACTTTTTAACTTTGTATGTTAAAATACGTAGCTTATCCGTAATGGATATGTCATGGTAAGTCAAATTATTATTAACCTCCCCTTTTGATCTTTTTTAACACTTTCGCTGCCCATGACGTTCATTAACGTCACGATAATTGTTTACCCCATGCCCATGACGTTTTGCAACTATATTTTAAAATTATTCCTAAGTATACAGGAAAGTTCAAAAATGTGTAGTGGAAAAACTTATACTGTTTTAAAATAAAACCCCCTTCTATAACAAATGTATTTGTTCTCACATCGTCAAACAATTTTAATAGACTTAAAGTTTCTAAAAATGTTTTGACTTTACATTCATTTGCTACGTTGTATATAGGGTGTGTCAAATAAAACACCTTGTATGTTACACGACAAATTTAATTAACTAATAATTTAGATTCTTTACTTGTTATTTTGTTTGGCATTCTTGAGATTAAACTGATTTTTAAATTTTATTTACAATGGTTCATATTACTTGTAACGTCGAAGGAATAGAAAACCATTCATTAATTCTGACAAATGGGTTACCAAAAATTACATTAGCATTTTACCCTAAATGTCCATATTTTTAAAAGCCAATTAGAAAAATGTTAAAAAAATATGTCAATTTTCATGGTAAAACTGTCAAAATCTTGAGAAAAAATTCGTTTGGGAATAAAATGCCAAACAAAATAAAAAAAGTAAAGAAATTAATTTATAAATTGGTGGTATAATACACAGGATATATTTGAAAAAATTGAGAATATTGTAACCTCAAGTTTAGACACGCCCTGTATGCATCACAGCAAATACATGAAAATGTTTAATATTTTTAGTCTATTAAAATTATAAAACGGTGTGAAAACAACCAAATCTGTAAGGCGTAACTACCTACAGGGTGTTTGGTTTAAAAAACTATCTGTTTGGTTTTCCCCTCATTTATAGACTATCATGTATATTTAAAAATAATTGTAAAATATGATCTTACAACTTTTATATTAAACATTTCTTCATATCTCCAATAATAAAATATCTATCAATCAATTACCCACTGATGGAACACCTGTATACGTATAATTAAAACACTGTATAAAATGAACCAATTTTTTCATCACAGCTTGGTCCATATAAGTTGAAAAATATTCTAGTGATAAATACAGTATTACTATGCCACTCTAAAACTGAACTAAAATACAGAATGTTCCATTTAAAATAGTATATTGTTTCACGAGTGACGAAAATAAATTTTTTTGAAGCGAGAGAACAATTTACCAACCGAGGCGAAGCCGAGGTTGGTAATGTTCGCGAGCTTCAAAAAATGATTTTCGACGAGTGAAACACTATACTTTTTCTACGAACTCTATTATGTCATGTAGGTACCTACTAAAATGAAAAAAAAAAAAAACAAACGTTAGCAAATGCTTTATTTTGTGTTAGGAATAACAAAAAATTAACCAACAATTAAATATTTCAGAAATATTTATTATTTAAATATTGATTTATTGTTATATTTGAAAAATTGTTTAAAATTATGGGGGTATCACACTCAAGCTTTTTATTTATTGAGGTAGATGCCGACATATTTGTTCTACTGTTAAATGTCATTTCAGATGATGATGCGCCATAATCGGATGAACTAGTAGTTTCCTTATTTTGTACAGATTGTAAAATTTTGGTTTGTATTTGGTTTTTACTGTTCGTGGATTCATCAACATATCCTTCCGCAACACTACTAGATTTCCAACCACCGTGCTTTTTTAACAGAAGCAAGTCACCTCCTGCATCCACTAATAGCGTTGCGGATGTTCTGCGGAAACAGTGCCAAGTGTAATATTGAGGATTCGGAAGCGTTAAAAACTGAGCAATTTCGTTAGGAAATTTACTGATTTTATTAATTCCAACAACCTGTCTGCTACACTTTCCATTCTGATAGTTAATAAAGAATCTTGAATTAATTTGATCCATATTTGCGGGACGTAGGCTCATATATTTTTTAGAAATATCATAAAAGGGTCCAGAAATATGAAAAGAACGCGGAACTTTTGTTTTTGTATTACGGATTTTAACTAACAGAATACTTCCAGTATCCTTTACATCGCTTATTGTTAAATCTTTTAGTTCGTGGCAACGACAAGCGCCAGATAATCCAAAAACTAATGCTACCTACAAATATTAGTAGTTATGTATTAAATATTTGTTAAAATAAAAATAATAATTCCGTTACCTTTGTTATTAAATATTTATAGTCAGGTGCATTCTTTAGGAAAGTCTTTATGTCTTCAGGCGAAAAAATTTTGGATTTTTGTTAAAACCATTAGATTTTCTTTTCAAAAGCGAACGTAACTTTGGATATTTACTAATATCGACATCATTTTTAACAGAGAGTGTAGTTCTTAGCATCGAATAAATGGACCATAACGTCGACGGTTTAAAATTTGAACATATTTCTCCAAAGTATGCTAGTAATACAGTTTCCGAAAATGAATTCACTTTATTTTTTTCTCTCCAGTCCAAAAATTTGATATAAATTTCTTCATATCTCTTTTTTGATTTGGCCGGTAATAAATCTGAAGAGGTTTCTTCAGCTTTAAAAATAATTTCTGGGGGAGTACAATCGCTTTCTGACTCAGACATCATGAAAATGTGTTAAATTTAGGACGAACTGAAACTGACAGTTCTCAAAAGTGATAAAACTTCAAATAAACAAATGAAAACCAGGAAACTAGATGTAATTTGCACTATTTTTATACATTTTTATTTTATCTTTAATTCATTAAAGTTTAGGTAAAAACGCATATAGAATTTAATGAGCATCTTTTTATTTCATTATTAATAATTTATAAGCTGCCAAAATATTATACGAGGCGACTGATATATGAAAATATGTAACAACTTACTTTCGTCACTAGAGACGAAAGTAAACGTTATGGGATTTTTTTCTCACTAGTGACGGAAATCAAGTTTTCGCTGAAAGTATCCTGTGGCGAAAGATGTCTTTTTGTAAGAGTTCGTAGAAAAAACATGTTTTTCCTTTTCAGGCAAAAGCGTTACGTATGTAAAAAAATATTTTTAAATTATATTTTTTTTTTTCAAATCCACATAACTTTTATTCAAAACATGTGTCTACAGTATGGTTCAAATGAAAGGAATAAATTCATTATAATGGAAGTAGGTGGTTTTTCGAAAAAATGCTCGGACAGGTCAATTTTGTTTACTAAAAGCGCAATTTTTTAAATAGAATTTAATTTTCCCCCAGTTCCCATTTTTGGGCAGTGACGCCATTGACAATTTTTTTAAATAGTAACTCCAATTTTTTTTTCTTGATTTTGATAGATCTTGCAATTTCCTACTCGGAAACATAATATTTGAAATATCTTACATAACAATTTTTTTTGAATAAAAGACATTTAAAGATCAGACACATAAATTTTATTTTATTTTGAGAACACAATAAATGAATAAAAGATAATTATTTGTAATTAAGTGCTTAATCTAACAAAATAATTAATAATAATAATAAAAAATAATTTGGGAAATTGTCATTAAATTCTTTTTATTATTATTATTATTATTATTATTTTTTTTTAGATGAGCACTTAATTACAAATAATCTTTTATTTATTGTGTTTCAAAATAAAATAAAATTTATGTATCTGATCTTTAAATGACTTTTATTCAAAAAAAATTGTTATGTCAGATATTTCAAATATTATGTTTCCGAGTAGGAAATTGCAAGATCTATCAAAATCAAGAAAAAAAATTGGGGTTACTATTTAAAAAAATTGTCAATGACGTCACTGCCCAAAAATGGGAAGTGGGGGAAAATTAAATTCTATTTAAAAAATTGCGCTTTTAGTAAAAAAAATTGACCTGTCCGAGCATTTTTTCGAAAAACCACCTACTTCCATTATAATGAATTTATTCCTTTCATTTGAACCATACTGTATAATACAAATTTAAATATCAAGCAATTATGCACTAATGGGACAGCCTGTATAGAATTACGACGAGAGTTTACGTCTTTTTTTATCTTTTCAAGAAACTTCCTTTTAAACTAGTCTTGATTGTTTTTGACTCCCCGCCTTGAATGGTCCAGCTTTCCCTACAATATTTTGACATGGAGGCTGCATCTTCATTGGCTAATTGTACCACCGTTTGGATACCCTACTTCTTTCGATTTATTAATTCCTCATTAATCCCACTCCCTAGATAGGCTTCCGAGAACTTATAGTCTCGGATCAACCATTCATGAAGTGCTTGACTACCTCGATCGATAAATGAATTTATAGGTACACCGTCAGCCAGCGGCTCGGTAATAACTTCTTTGACACCAGTACTTCACATCCTATAGAGGTGTATATTCTATTCTCTTTTTGTATTAATATTTATAATCACCCTTTATTGTATAATAGCTATTCCGCAGAATAAATTTTTAGATTTTCATTGTGTATGGCCCATGACGTTAAAGAACGTCCTAACTTCTAAATGTTCGTATACCGATGGGCCAGAGCGTGTAGTTGGCATTAAAGTTTGGGCAGCGAAAGCGTTAAAAAATGTTTTTTCAATTTTAATTGTTATATTAAATAATTTTAATAATTTAATAATTTTAATACATTGACTCCATGACTTTCCATTTCCAATAAATTGACTTTGTGCGAAATAAAGGACCTTTCTTTACACCTTCATTCTCTATTGTGGCATTGATTTTGAGCGTTTTTCTTATTTCATCCTGGATCAACTTTAATCAGTATCACACTATTTGGTTCAAAATAAATGAAGCAAATTTACAAGTAATTGGAATCATAGACTTTGGCAACTTAAAAGTTAATGGTAATAATGGTACATGATATAAATGTCCTATAGAACAATTTTACTATTCTGAAGCACTTGAAGTTATCACTGAATCACCGAGGCTGTAGTAATATAAATAACAAAAGTACATTTTTCAAAGACAAAAATAATTTAAGTTTTGTAAAAAGGCATTGTATATTTTTGTTTTTGTAAACCTGTACCATTTCTTTGAATGCAATTCAAACGATAAATCCCATGACGAAAACTGTATGTTATTTCAAAATTCATTTTAGTAAGTCTGTAGTGTTTAGTGTGAAAAAAAGTACTTACGAATCCAGGTTTCCTAACATCATAACCGCACTGCTTATTTTTAATTATTTCCTGTAAATAGGTAAAATAAGTATTAAGACGACGTTCTTAGAAAATTTTGTAAAATTGTATCTAAAATTATACATTGTAAATGAATTAACTTACATTTGGTTTTCTCTTACAGCAGGAAAACGGAACTCCACAAGCTTCCCTGCTGCCAACATCTCTAGATGAACAATTAAAGTAGTTATTTCGATCCCAGTCTTTTGGTCCCTCAATTCCACAGCATTGTAACTAAACGAATAAACGCAACAAAATTATCTGAACGAATTGACAAGTATGTCCCCCAAAAGCTCATCAAAATTCAAATGCATAAATATCCATACACAGCTTTGACAATATCAATAAGTACATACCCAATCTTCCTGTATCCAATCAATAAGATTTTGCTGATCTGGATCTTCTCTGTAGTGAATAATAAAAGTCTGGAATCCTATTGTAGCTTGAGATTTAATCTAAAAAATACAAATTTCCGATTAATATGTAATATTATTTAACTTCTAGATGGTTTGTTTCTAAAGACCAAATCGTTCCTTTCAAATCAGAAAATTGTTCAGGCCACATCTTGCAACTTTTTAAGCCGCTTTTCAAATTGCATGTTTGTTGCAAATTTGCTGTAAGAAATTTGTAATCACTGTGCCGACAAGTTTGATGAACGTTTTATGTCACAAAATAAATAAAGCAATTTCTATTTTTGCGTAAGTTCTAAGCAAGATTGATTAAATTTTTAGTTATTTTTGAGTTACCAACCTCTAGCAAATAGGTACTACAATCCATTAACTACCAGAAGGATTGGGTTTTCAATATGTAGGTAACTCTGAAAGTTAACTATAAGAATTTTCTCTATTTCAATTGATACAAGCTTTAACCTTATCCTTGGAGTATCGTTAACCTATCGTTAAGAGATAATCATTACATGTACTTTGTCATTGTTAAATATAAATGCTCTATATAACAGCGAATAGAAAAAATAACAAGATATGTACTATACTCTGTTTTTAAACTAGGAGGAGCGAATTGAAAAGACGCATTTACACAGGGAAAAGTAACTAGATTTGTTACTAAAAGCGTGTTTCGAAATATAGTCTTGTTCAAAATTTATGAAATAGCTATCTTTATCGGCCTTAAGCCCAGTACTCACAACAGCGGAAAGCGGAAATTTATTTTGCGGAATTGAAGTGATTGGTCTAAATAAATTTAAACACCAGATGGCGCAATTTTCTTGCGAATGTTTTAACCGCAAAAAGTTGAAATTATTTTAACTTTTCGGCGGATTTTATATAGTTATCTCTCTCGGTTAGTATATCTCGCTTTGTTTATCGAGGATCATCCATAGTTTTTTTAGGTTATCTTTTGTTGTTACTTTGGTTATTTATATCGTTTATTCATAGTGCACATACAAGTCGTTCATCGTGCTTATATCAGTATAAACATTAAAACTTTTTATTTGATTTATACCTTCTTATTTTTTTGCCATGCATGAATAATATGATTATTTTGAGGTAAACTAAAGTTTAAATCTAACATTGCATGTATATTGTGAAATGCGCCTTGGTTTTTTCGCTTCTTTTTCTTTAATTTATTTTTATAATTTACCTTCTTGATTCATTTTTTTAAAAATTCAATCATAACTCAAAAGTAAACAAAACGGAAATTGTCGTCTTCGTCTAAATTCTTCGTTTTCAGTGGCATTTTAGGTTAAATTTAACGCGAAATTTGCCATTATGAGTACGATGATTAATTTCTGGCGAATCTTTGGTCACGTGTGAAATTTCGCAATCCGCATTCCGCTGTTCTGAGTACTGAGCTTTAGTCGGTGAACTGCCAATGAGAGGTTAAGAAACGAATAAATGTCATACAAGTCATTTTTATTGGTCCCAGACAACGGCCGCAAATTTCACATTATTGTGATCTGAAATGTGTGTCTAAAACGAAAATAAATTTTTGCTGTAAATTATAATTATGTTATCTGTACGGAAAAGGAAACGAAACGGTGTTGTCATGGAGTATGTAGAAGTGACACACGGTATAATTCATTTAAAGGCAATACATATTATTTTATAAATGTTTCAAAGCTTTGGCTAAAAATATCGGAAAAAAATTATCAATAATTATCAGGCAAAATACATATTAAAATATGTTCAGAATGCGCAAAAAGTTTTCGATCGATTGATGATATTACTAAAGATATTTATATTTGTTCACTACATTTTCGTGGAGAAAGAGGTCCAACAGAAGAAAAGTCTTATCTGATATTATACAATAGTTTTTAATATTAAATACTACTTTGGTATTCACAGTAAAATGATTGAAAATGCCATGTTGATCCTCAAACTAATAAATAATTAATTTTATTAATTATACTCATGAAAAATTTAAAGTGTTTTTGAAGTACTAATATTGGTTGTCATAATTAATTAGAATAGAGTTATGATTATTATTTCCATTAATTTTTTACACAGTAAACAAGTATTGATAAACCTAACCTCTTAATTAGAACAATTTTTACCTTGTTGCAAACGTCCAAGACACTTTAACCACCTCTTCATTTGCTCACAACTTTGTGCTTCCACAAAGTTATAAAAAAGTTAAACACCATCAACGATTTTTACTAATAATTGATTTATCTGTAGATAGTATTGCTTTCCCAGCCATTGTCGATCAAAACAGTACGAAACTTTTGAATTACCGCCATTTTAACATGGCTGCTGCGCTTGCGCTCATCACATGATGAAAAGGCCTATTGGAAATACTTTTTTCTTGCTTTTGAAATCGACTTTTTGAGAATAACTATGATCTTTTTAAAATGAATATTAAATATTTAAGAAAATTGTTAATAAAATATCCAGATATAGCTAGGTTAGTATAAAATATAAAAATCTGGTCTGTTTACATTTTTATGGATATTTTTATTATAGGTATAAAAAGTAAAAGTTAATCAGTGAATGACAAGTGGACCACACAGTAACTGGTATCTCTCCTATGAGTAATGTGGATATTATGGCTTTTAGTGTTAACCCATGGTTAATACGCTAAAGGGCAACTAAAGGCATTCAAAAGTTTACAGGCCTACGAGTCAGAATTTGTTTTGAAAACTGGAACGAACATTTTCATAACGCTACATGTCAACATATATTTTTTTAAGTGAACTATTCATACATACCTATGTATTAATTTTAAGTATTTTTAAAATATGTTTTTGTGAAAGTATTGTTAACTCAGTGGTAAATGGTGTTTTAAATGTTATAACAGTTTTGTAAATGGTTTTATTCTTTTCTAATAAATAAAATTTACTTGCTTGAATATTCAGGTACATTTTAATCATTTTGGTTAGAAATTCATTAATTTATTATAAATCAGTAATAAAGTTGTTAGTTTTTTCTAAAATACTTCGGAATTCATCTCTTCATGGTAATCTCCCATCTTTTTACCTTCAAAAACCAATAATGCATTTTCTACAAAACCATCTTCAGAATCAGCATGTAAAATAATAAGGTGTTTTCCTCTTTCTTGTATTGCTTTTCAGGAATTGCTACCCTTAAGAGTACTCAGTGTAGAAGGATCCACAAATGTAGATTTTCAATACAATTGCTTACTGAAGAACTATTATTTAGGAAATAAAGTAAAAAACTAAGTAATGATGAGATATCAAATTATAAAATGTCAGAACTGTCAACAATATCAATTATTAGCTGATGTTCATGCTAAAAAGTAATGTGTGAAACTGACTGCAATCTGACCAATCAGAAGTCTACAGAATTGCCAACTTAAAATTAAAATCGCTCCTCTTAGTTTAAAAACAGAGTATAGATATAAAAAAGAAAGTAACTCAAATGTGACCAAGACTTAAAATAAAATAAATACATGCAATTACTTTTGATTTTTTAAATGGATCCCCGTATTTTGTTTTTTTTTGAATCTACGGTTCAAATTACATATTTATGACAAATTTAAATTTTTATCAAACGGTTTTTTTTTTTTGAGGTAGTAGGCTATGAACTAAAAATAATCATATAAATGCGAAAGTTTGGATAATAAAGCTTTGTTGTTACGGAAACCATGAATTATATCATTATTAAATAAGTTAAATAGTAAGGGTCCTAGATGTAATCCCTGAGGAACACCTGAGGTTACTTGAAATAAGTTAGAACAGTGGTGATTAGCTGTAACCATTTCAGTTCTATTAGTAAGAATTTATTGCAGTAATACCCCACCCAGACCATATTTGTTAAGCTTTTGAAGTAAGAGAGTATGGTTAAGCCTGTCAAAAGCTTTGGAAAAGCCAGTATAGACAGAATCGATTTGTAAACCTTTTTCTAAGGCTACTGCAAGAAGTCGATATAAGTGACTCAATTTAACTCTATTGATTTTCCAACACAAAAACCATATTGTTTTTCAGTTATGAACTCTCCCATATCGATAGATTTATTCAAAATATGAAAAAGGGGGGCGAGGACAGTATGAAGCTGCAATTCCTTAGTAGGATGGGAGGAATAATGTTAGGACCTGGCCCTTTTTTGTATCAAGGTTTGACAATTTACCGTTTACAAAAAGTGTCCCTCAAAATGTATACAATAGATGGCATTACTGTGCCAGAAGGACGCCGAAAATTGTGACAATCGATCATTCATATCACACAATCACACCAATGATATATAAAGTTATATAGATAGCTCACCCATATATAAATAAAATTGTATATGTGCTTAAAGGGTATAGTCTAAAAACTACATCATGAAAAGCGACTGAGCTTATAATTATTGTAGAGAAATTTTGATAATAGACGACAATAGTGCTTCTCGTCGTCTGATTTACATATGTATGAGCAATCTATATAACATTATATCATTGAATCTTTCCCTTCTAGTATACGAGCGCCATTCTTTTAGTCACTTTCTGAAACCTTATTTACTGCTTTTGGGTGGACACTTTTTGAGATAAACAACCATATGAGATTGTCCTTCTTTCCTCTACACTCCATAATTAAATGCCACTTGTAGTACTGTTTACCTTTAAAACATTGCATAATTCATTGCAATAAAAAAAATACTTTCGAAAAACCCAAAATCAATACCACTTACATTAAATTAATGACTTTAAAACATTGTATAATAAATGTTTTCTTGCAAGATACAGCAGGAAACTTGCATAAGTATATGAGTTTCGCCGTGAATAGCGGCTTCTATAAATAGTACACAATAAAAATTATATTTTTTATTATAAATTACAAAAAAAAAATGTTACAAGATTTTTTGTTATAATAATCAAAAATTTAATATTAGTAATGTTAGTATTCAGGAAATATAGTTGTTATTTCGAGAGGTGAAAAGCTGTTTTCTTCTGCTTTTGAATGATTGAAGTAATAAATACACTATATCATACTTATTTCTTACTAAAATAGTGATTTATTTAAATATTAAAATATTTTTCAGCGAATTTTTTTTTAGTCATTAATATAATTTTTATTCAAGTAAACAATAATGATTAGAACATTCTACACAATCGCAAAACAGGCACGATGAAATGACTATAAAAAGAGAAAATCAATAATCACAAATTACTTTCCAGAACTTTACTTCAATGAAACATAAGCAAATTTTTCAGAACTGTCCTTTAACCAAACAAATGAATTCTTAGAAATGTTACTCACCCAGTCCTTGAAAATAAATCCAAGAATTCCTGCAGTCATTTCAAACAAAAGTAGAACAGATAGGAAAAGTGCATACTAAAACATGAAATAAAGATATTTAGATTATTTTTTTTTGTTTTATTCAATTTTCTATCTTACTGTAGCTAAAAGACAGGTGTTCTCTCGAAGTGCTCCCACACAGCCTGTAAAGCCTATCACAAAGGTTACTGTTCCTAAAAACGAATAATTAAACATTAAATTAAATATAAAAAGTTAATAAGAAGCCTCATTTTATTTATTTAGTACAGTAGGTAGGTACATCACTCAACGAAAAATAAGAAAAAATACATTTTATCATAAATTAAATTATAGTTATGAAGAGTTAAAACAAGTGAATAAAACATTTTTTTAAGTAAAATTATTAGATACATTTGATTGTTTTTAAAACAGAAGAGATAATAATTAAAAAAATTTGGTCTCGTTGCTAGGATAGATAGAACAATGCAAAATAAGTTCGGTTTGCTCAGTAAAACATGTTGGTAACAGCATACGTTTTCAAGATACAGGATATTGAACAAAAAAATATACAGGGTGTCCCAAAATTCCGTGTACATAGATCTACTGTATGTTGGTGAGATCAAAATAAGTCGATTGAGCCAAAATTACCTATATCAAAAAGTCCATCGTTTGCCTGTGAGGAAGCTTCAAAGTAGGAAGAAAATTTTCAATTTTTTTTAATAACACAAAAACGCTTCGTTCGATTTTTATAAAATTTGGTGTGTGGCTATTTTAATTGAAGAGCCATTGTTCAAAGCAAAAATTACACCAACTGAAATTATGGAAAGGTAAAAACCACCCTAATCCTACCATAAATGACATCGTATTTTTTTTAGGGCCGCTCCTGTTCCCTAAATTTTTGTGGAGAGCTGTTTTCATTTGTAGTATTTTTCGAAGAAGAAACGCTTCATCATCAAATTTTTTAATTTGTTTATAAGTTTTTTTTTAGAAAAACGGTTATGTTTACTAGACTGGGCCAAAAAAATAACAATTTTTTTTTTTTGAAAGATATATCAAGAATATCATTCAGAATGATGAAAAAAAAATTTCCTAAAAATTTGAGCCCTTAATATTAATTTTAAGAGGTCTATCATCGCTATTTTGATTTTTAGTCATAATTTGATGTTTTACGTTAGAACTCTCAAAACATTAAGGTGAAAAAAAATCCTTTTTACTTATTCTTATGTAAAATTAAATTCTCTACAAAAAAGGCCCTATTAAAATTTTTGTCAGACGAGCCGTTTTCGAGTAATTTCGTAACTAATGAATCAATGCATATTTAAAAAAGCCCACGTCGGATTCTTAAAGGAAAATTAATGTTCTACAAAAAAGGTCTCTTAATATTTTTGCCTAAATTTAATTCTTCAAAAGTTATTTATTAGTTACGAAATTACTTGGAAACAGCTCGTCTGACGAAAATTTTCAATCAGACCATTTTCGTAGAGAATTTAATTTTATATCAGAATAAGTGAAAAGGAATTTTTTTCACTTTAATGTTTTGACAGTTCTAACGTAAAACATCAAATTATGACAAAAAATCAAAAATAGCGATGATAGACCTCTTAAAATTAATATTAAGGGCTCAAATTTTCACGAAATTTTTTTTTTATCATTCTGAATGATATTCTCGATATATCTTTAAAAAAAAAAATAGTTATTTTTTTGGCCCAGTATAATGTTTACTGTTTATGGACAAATAGATCGGAAGGTGATCTGTTATATTGGTGTTAATTACTGAGGCGTTTTATTAAACTTTATTGGAAGTTGATTTCGATCACACAAATATGTGATCTAGACAAGACTGAGTATGGGATGTAATTCTTGTATAAGTATTAATGTATGAAGAGAATCCATGAAACATGAGCATACTTAAATAGTTATTACTAAATTTATTAGTAACGTCTAATATGTCAAAGTTTAAATATTCTATAATAATATCATAATCTGTTTTATCTACATTGGAAATTAAATTATCTAGATCCTATGTGAATAAATTTTCTTTTGTCGAAGGTGATCTGTAACAAGTTAATATATTGAAAAAAAGTTTTATCCCTATTAAAGGTAAGCTTGATAAAGTTACTTTGGTTAAAGGTAAGATTGTGTTCAAGATGTTAAAATTAATTTTACTATTAATAAAAATTAACATGCCATCGTTTTGGTTTAAATTACTGTTATTAAAAATAGTGAAAAACTCAGGTATCATAAAATCAGAGGTAGCGTGAATAAAGCGAGTTTCACCAAGAGCTATTACATCAATATCTTAACTTAAATTAGCGGATGTTAAAAATATTAAAAATTCAAAGTTCTTAAAAGCACTTCTTATATTGAGGTGTAAATTGCTAAGAAAGATACTGTTCTTTAAGAAGTCAACTTTTTTAATGAACTGTTGCATATAAGTGTAAAAGTCGTAGCGACAAGAAATAGCCAGATATTACGTTTGACAGGTAAATAATAAATATCTCATTTATACTTTATATATTTTCTTATATTTTTTAGTTTGATTATTATACAGCTTGGTATTTATATATTGTACATATCTCACTCCAATGTAATATATGTTACCCGTCAAATTTGTTTATTTTATACTTTTCATTGATTTATAAGCAATGATATTAAAATTGCCAAAAAAGCAATTTTTTTTCAGTGGCGTGTCATACAATTCTAAATATTAACTTTCATCAAATACTATTTATTGATGAATCTACTTTCCATAATAATGGATTTATGAATAGACATAATTTTCATTATTACAGCATCAAAACTAAACATGAATTTTGAACTGTAGATCGATAAAACTGATGGTCATTAAACGTTTAAGGTGGAATGATAGAAAGACATAAATTCAATAAAATTATTAAAAATAGACTCTATGTTCAAGTTTCTATTCTTGGTATTTTTAAGTAATTTACTAAAAGTTGATTCGCCAATATATTTAAGGGAACGCATAACTTATAGGATTGATGCACATACCTTAAATTTGCGAAATCACCATACTATTGCCATGGCGCGACCTATAACTGCCATGTATTAAAGGCCATTTAGTTATAATATTGCTAAAATATACAAGTCACTAAATAGTTCATTTAAAATTCTTTTAAATTCATATTTACTTGCTATTCAAGCAAATGCAAAATTCATGTTTTTAGTACAAATCTAATTCATCCATAGTCATTCTCTGTAATAAGTGTAGGTTAAGTTACTTTAATTTAGTTTTAGGATTTGTAATACGGTTGAGTTGAATGGCCATTAGGCTAGACTAGGACATTTATACTGTGTAATATTTTGCTCCTATAATAAAGACGTTTTTTATTATTATTAATAATCACTTGGTAGAAAGTGTTTAACTAGGCAGATATAAAAAACAAATTTAGGCGATCCAAAACATATCCTTAAAAAATGTAATTACAATGTTGCCAGTAGTTTCGATGTAATTCTAAGAAATGTGTATAATTTTTTATTCAATTCCCTGTATCTTGAATCAGATGCCCTTACGAAAAATTTTTACTGAATAAATCCAACTTATTTTGCAGTGTTCTACCTATCCTAGTAACGGGTTACCTTTTTTGAAACACGCTGTATATAAAATTTTATTATAATACTTTATTGAACTTTAATGAAACTAAAGATTATTTTTATTAGTTATTCTAATATATAGCAGATTTTATTTGTACAAGATTTCTTGATGTAACAAGTAGTTTAATACCTACCTAACAGTTAATACAGTGTGTGCCATAAAGTTGGAATATGGGAATTTTTTTAATATTATGATTGGAGAAAAACGTCATAGGGCAATCACCATGTCAAAGTTGGCAATAGGCATTAGATTTCTGTTAAAATCTTATTTTAAAAAAAGAATTTTTAAACTATTTTAAAAAAAAGTACCGATTTGACAGATAACTAATGCAGTACCTGGCCAACTTTAGTATGGGCTATTTTAAGTTTTTAAGAAGGCAGAAGTCAATGCCCTACGACGTTTCTTTTCCAATCGTAATATGAAAAGAATTCCCATATGATCCAACTTTATAGAACAAACTGTATAAGTAATTTTATTAATGAAAAAATGTCTGCAATATGTAAACATAATATGTTTATTCCTAATTTTGATTTTCACACTGGTACTCTGGGAAATATAATATTATCGATTGACATTAGGTATGGAATGCTATTTCACTGTAACAGCTTTTGTCACAGCTTTTAACCTACACCTGGTGAAAGAGGTGTTATTTTTGGGAGCAGGTTCTAAAACATTTCCGAGAAAAGGAGAATAAAGATTCTTCTAGATTTATAAGCAGTCAATTCCTGAGTATTATTATTATTATTATTATACAGTTATATAATAAAATACAATAAAAAATTTAACTTTAAGATAAAAATATGGTTAAGTGGTAAAAAACCATTGAATGTCTTATTTAAATATTGTCATTTTTAAATTTATTGCATTTACATGCATATATTCACAAAAATATGCAGAAAATTAAGATAAAAATAAACAGGATGTTATCTACAAAAAAAGAAAAGGCCAAAAGATTAAAGTTCATAAAATGAGTGCTTTATAAACAATTTTGAATAGAAACAGAAGATAACCTCAGTGATCTTCCGAGGGGCAAACACGTGCAAAAAATGTGTACACAAGAATTCCTAACATAAAGAATACCTGAGAATTCCCAGGAATATCCAGAGAATACTAATAACTGAGTATATCCAGATAATGCCCGAAAAATATATGAGGATAACCATATATTTCTAAAGGATTCTCTAGAGTTAGTAAATAAGGTCCTTAATGAGGTCTTTAAATTATTAGGAAAATAAACAGTTGTTCCGGATTTATTAACTCGATGATTAGCATTTTTTCCCTCAATTTAGATAATATTTTACAAATTATGTTTTGTGATGACAATTAAACCAGATGAGAATTAGAATGTGCCACCATAAATTTGTCATCTAATAAAAGAAATTCTAAACACTATCACAAATATCCTAATATCAGAGCTGTAAATGATAGATATTCATATTGAAAAATATATTTACATGGCACACTTAAAAAGTGTCTTCTGATATACCTGCTTAGAACCAATAATTTTTTTTTTTTTTTAATAAGAAATGTTTTCAAGTTTAAAGTGATTTTATAGTATTGTCTCTTGTACCCAAACTTTTCTTATTAATTTTCAAAAGTATTTTTTTTTTTAATTTGATTTAAGTACCTACTTGTGTAGCTACTTGTCTTAAGTAATTTTTAAAAATAAACATCCTTTTGAGTATGTACTATTTGATTTTTTAATAGTTGCGCTTTTCTTTTACTAAGTACTAGGTAAATTGATCTTAAATAGGTATCATTATCATGAAAATATCTTACCTATACATATTAAAACAAAAGCAGGATCGAGAGCAACATTTGCAACTTTTCCTAAATTATTAAATATATCTTTTTCACTCCATGCCCACACTCCAATAGTTAAAATACCAAGTCCAAGCATCTAAAATGTATAAAAAGTTAAATAAATTTAAAATGCATAATTATAATGTTTAATTTATTGAAATCATAATTAACAACTTATGAATATGAATCTATGTCATCAAACATCACAACTGTGGAGGATTAATAAATAGGTCAAAAGGGCATATACATACCCAAAATAGAACATTAAATCCAAATATCATATATTTCAAACAACTGCTAACTTCGGTGGTCTCCCTTCGGTATTTTCTTACTGTGGGCATATTGGGTACATTCACAGTCATACCGAAATTGTTTATTAATGCAAAGTGAAGACAAAATCTAATCCTAGTGTAGACATGTTTAATTCTTCTTATTTATTTTGATTCGTGGTGCCAATAACTAACTTCAACAATTGTGGCTTTGTAATGTGAATGACATCATTCGGAGTTCAAGGAGATGCGGAAATAAATTTAATTCCGCTTTCAGCTTGTATTTAATTTCAAAGTCAACAATACAATAAATCCTTTTGTTGACACTGGCACCAAATCACAAATGACAAGAATGACAGTATGACAGAAATCGATGTTTTACAGAATAGCCAACGTAAAACTGTGGTTTACAAAAAAGCTGCGTTTACACCTAAGTAGAACATTTTAAAAACTAATGTTCAGTACTAAAATGGGAAACTAAAGGATTTTATGATACAAATAATTTTTTTGTAAAAAAATATTCACTGAAAAGGTGATAAACTTATCAGTTGCTTGTTCTAGTTCTTCAAAAATATGTTGAAAACTATTCGTAGGCTAATTAAATAATTTATGGAAACGCTGCGTGCATCATTCGTAGAATTACTATTATAATATTTTCTATAGGGGTCTATTCTGTAACAATTCCTTTATATTTAACGGCCTTTAAAAATATTTTCTTCTTTACTTCTGTCATTATTTAAACGGATCTTTAAAATACATTAGAGGACTATCTTAAAGAAATCTGTTTAAATAATGACAGAAGTAAATTAACGAATACGAACATATTTTTATAGGCCGCCAATATTTTTAAAGGCCGTTAAATATAAAGGAATTGTTACAGAATAGACCCCATAGTCTGTTAAAGAAAATCCTACACTTGGCCAATTTCACTGTTGTGTTAAACAAAGTTTTTCAATTAATAAACGAAGATTAAAATGATATTTTTACGTTAACATTGTCATTTTAATTTTCCATTAGTAATTTACACTTCGTTTAATACAACGGTGGAATAGGCCCTTACCAGCATATTCCCTCTTGTCTTTCGACAAGTGATAAGCCATAGCGGCAGGGGACTGCTGTACCTATTTGTAAAATTCGAGGGTAAGTCGAAGCTTCCGAAGGATAAAACATTTCCCGTATCAGTTGTTCTTCTCTATGTCTTATGAATTAATATGATCCTTTTGTACCTACTACTCTCAGAGAATGCCGTTGCCGTTATTGATTTGAAGTTTTTCCGAATGTGCATAAAGCATCATATACTTATACGGTATCGGCTCTCGAACGCTTTTCAATAAATACGTTGCAAAAATGCGTGTAAAAACTACAGAGAGTTAGCAAACGAATATTATCAGAGATGCCGGTTTATATACGGCCCGGCCAAGGTTACAACGCGGTTGGGCCGTATATAAACTGGCAACGATATGCTAATTCTCTGTAGTTTTAACATGTACTTGTGCAAAGCTTATTGGAAAACGTTCAGTGGCCGATATACTGTATAGTGTAGCGTGCTGAATAGCGTGGTAAAACTGAAATTAACTGATCGATAGATCTGCCGGAAAATTAAATTTGAATCGATAAAGCGGGGTTCAGACTGTGATTAGTTTAATTCAACGATGAAAAACTACAAGACTAATTATTTTAAAAAAAATCGAATTGCAAACATTCACGGTATCATCTACGTAGTTGTCAAATTATTATCAGAGGAGTCTTGTTGCAAGGATTGTTTATGGTTGTAATTCGGAATTGACTAAACATAATGCTCAAAAGCGCACAAAAGGCTTTCAAAATTACAGAGAGGGAAGTGTATTTACATTCTTAATACCAAATTACCAGTTTAATGTATTTTTCTCATTGCAACTATTATAGTTGCATGTATGTTTTTCAGAAAAGTACGCAAATAATTTTAAAGTGTGACAATAAGTGTAAATCAAGCATACTAGACTAAGGGTCGATTCCACCGTTGTGTTAAACGGAGATTAAAATGACATTGTTAATGTAAAAATGTTATTTTAAACTTCGTTTAACACAACGGTGGAATCGGTCCTTAAATAGGTATAATAATTCATAAAACGCATACTCTTGCAAACCATCCTCATATAAATTAGCAGCTGTCTCCTTCTTTTTTATGCGACAGCTGTTTCTGCATATTAATAAGCACAATCCGAATGATTGCAATAAATAAGTGCCAGCTTAATTATGAATGAATGAATAATGGCCGTTTGCACCGACATGTCAGTTAAGTTGGCTTAGCTAAGGGTAGTTTAAATTTTTAAGCTACACTTATAAAAAATTTGTTGCATGGTATTGATTTAAACCGAACTTACTAAAGCTTGGAAATTATATGACAACGTTGTAATAATTTAGGGTATTTCTTTCTTTCTGGCATATTTGACATACAATACATTTGTCAGATGATATAATTATTAATTATTCTCTGTGCAAACGGTTGGTTTATTTGTTACAGTTTGATTTGGCTGTGTTTTCATGGATGTTTCAAAGGAAAAACGAAATAGGGGACCTAATTATTCCCAATCAGAAAAAGACCTATTGATAAGTCTTGTGGCCAAACACAAAAATATATTAGAAAATAAAAAAACTGATGCTGTAACGATTCATGAGAAGGATGCAGCTTGGGATAGAGTCGGTAGGGAATTTAATAGTATTGTTCCAAATTGTACGAAGAGATCTGTGGAGTCATTAAGAAAATTTTATGAAAATAAAAAAAAAGACATGCGGAAAAGAACTGCTAACGAAAGAATGGAGTTTATGCGAACAGGAGGTGGCCCTCCTCCTCCAAAACAAACTTGTACTACATCCGATGAACTGCTTTTATCGCTAATGAATCACAAAACTGTTTATGGATTAGATAACCCATTTGATGGTGACAGAGATATGAAGGTAATTTTTTTTTTATAATATACCTAAATCTTTATTAAATAGTTCTTATATTTTAGAATAATCATAATGACCCTATTGAAACAGCCGTTGACTCTGCAACTGTAAGTATCATTTTGTTTTTCTAATGAAATTGAACAAAAATGGCTAACCATATTTATTTCTATATTGTAGAGTAGTTATAGTCATAATCACTCTGGCGAAGTAGCTGTTGACTATCAATTAGAGAGGGGTGATGAAAATAAGTCTTATGCTGCATCAAGTGGAAGTAATAAGAAAACTGTAAGTAACAGAGAATTTTTTTTTTTCTAATAAACTATAATAAACACGGCCAACCATAAATTGATTGATATTAAAACAGTAATTTACACCCCAATTCTCTGGTTAATTATTAATGATATTGATTGCCAACCTTAATTTAATTTTGTTTAATGATAAATATATTTTATTTTTCAATGTTTACTGTTGTTTCAGGCAAAGAACGAGATGACACAGGGTTGGAAGAATTATAAAATTTTAGATTTACAAACGATACCATTTGTAGAGATTGAAAATTCCGAGCAAAATAATCCAGATAAGAGTAATAAGGAGACTCCCAACAAAAGTCTCAAAAATAGTCAAAATTTAAGAAGGCGCCGACCAGCAACTGTCGTTAGAACCTTAACATCAAATCATATTGCTGAGAAATATAATATGTTGCTGGACAAAAGGTTAATAATATGCAATTATGAAGAAGGTAGATTAAAGCAGAATATAGTGAATGAAAAAGAAGAGCAAGAACTGCGAAAGCAAGCATTGAAGTTAGATGTAGAAATAAAGAAAGAGACATTAAGACAGCTGCAGGAAAATCATTAATAATAGTTTTTTATTAAGTACACAAATAAAACATTACTACTTTTTTTTATATAATACATAAGTCTTCACAATTTTTTGTTTTATTTTATAATCATCTACATAACAAAAGGATCGATTTTGATCTAAAAAATGCAATTTTTAACACACAAAAAATACCTTTTGATCTATAAAAATGTAATTTTAAATACTAAAAAACAGCAATTAGATTATTCATTAAAATATTGAATGAGTCCATTTTGTGTAAGATTTACTTCATTATCTAGATGTTGGTATACGTTTATATTTCCAGCATTAATTAAATAATTTAACTGATTTAAATTTAATTCATCAGGTATAGGTGGATCAGGCTCATTCATGTCCCTGGCAATGTTGTGCAATACTGCAGTTGCTACAATTACTGCCATAACTGTTTCAAGTTTCAAACGAATTCCATATGCTATAACTGGAAATCTTCTTTTCCATATTCCAATTATTCGTTCAATTATGTTACGAGTTCTAATTAATGACTCGTTGTATCTTTGTTCTCCTCTTGTCAATGGGTTTTCAAGGGGAGTCATAAAATACTCTTTTAAGCCATAACCACTATCACCAATCAATAAACTATTAGGAAATTCCCTTGCTTCAAACCTTGCTCTTAATCTACTATTAGCAAAAATTGTTGCGTCATGAGCTGATCCTGGCCACCGAGCAACAACATCTATGAATTTCATGTCGGCATTTCCAGTAACTTGGACATTCAGGGAAAAATATGTTTTTCTGTTTCTGAACACCTCTGCATCATCCCCTCCTGGAGATATTTTAATATGCGTTCCATCTACTACTCCAATTATCCGTGGAAATTGAAACATATTATTAAATTTCTCCTGTTCTTGGATAATTTCTCTTGGAGATGGCATCTTTATAAATTGGGGATAAAGAATTGATAGTTCTCTTGAGACCTTTGCTACAATTCTACTGGCAGTTCCTGTATCCATATGCATAAAATCAGCTACTGAACTAAGATGTCCTGAACTGGCAAAGAATCGTAAGCAACATAGCAACTGATTTATGGGACTAACACTATTGTTCCTAAAAAACATATTAGTGATTATTATCAAACCGATAGATACTACTTTTAAGCTAAAAATAATTACCTGTCATTTACAAATTCCAAATTATGCTCTATGAGAGTTAAAATATGCAAAACTGTTTCCTTGTATAAGCGAAATCTCTTAAAAAATGTTAGATTGTCCATGTCTTCAAAATAATTAGGTCGATCATTAACACGCCTCGGGAAACCAAAATCAATAATTTCGTGTATATCCAGATCGTCATTAAATATATCTTCCATATTTTTTGATAATTAATTTTTTTTAGGTACAAATACTCAATTATTTTATGACAAATACAAACACAAACTGTAAATAATAGGTTAAGTTTTGACTTAAGCCGACAAAATGCACCACTTAAGATAAGTGAACTTTAAGAGTGGCTTTGCATGCACTGCAACAAACATCTGTCACTTTAAGCTGTCCTTAACCTAAGCTCCACTTAAATTTGTCGGTGCAAACGGCCATAAGTCTAGTAGTTTTTCGTCGCTTGTTTAAAATAATAATTTTCCCAGACAGCACAAATAGGTCCATTGGACGTCCATTCGATATACAATTTTGGATGTCTGGACGTCCAAAGATGACTTTTTTCTGGACTTCCGACGTCCAATGGACGTCCAGTGAAGTATACAAATGGCACACTTTTGTCCGTTCATAGGACGTCCAATTCTGGATTATATTTGGACGTTTAATACTGGATATTCAAAAAACGTCTATTCCTGGATTACATTCCACCATTAGACCTCATCCCTACTTTATTTACAGAACCGCAACTCACCACACACTATTTTGTAATATTAATAATTTATTTATTATTTTCCCAACCCGTGTTATACAACACCATTTATTGTTTTTTTTTTTCTTTTATCACTTGAACAGAGCAGGATTGAACTCACGACACGTCCATTGTCTTTCTAGACATTCAAGCGCTAGGCGATCTCGACCAAGGAGCCATTTGAAACATTCTTCCTATATATTATGGTTATAATAGAATAAGATTTGAAACTTCCGCTGATAGAATGAAATGAAATATATTTACTTTGTCAATTTTTAATGACCAATTATCACATACTTTGATTACTATACGAGGCAAGAGAGAGTTCCGACACGCCCAACATAGGGCACGGCCATTTTGAACCCTGTGACACAGTTTACAGCTAAAGAATCAGATCGCTCACCTTGCGTCGGCACTTTTGATCTCAATGTTTCAGTTTATACACTGTGCAACTCGGATAATACAATATATGACAACCGCCTATAATAAAACAGCAGTCTTCTGCGTATCCTGAATTTGTATCCCTGGAGTGGATGTTATTTTGGAACTTTCAACTGGTCCGAGTGAGCTAACTGATTCTTTAGCAATAAACTGTGACTTCAAAAATAATATTCACTGACACTGACAGCAGCAAGCAAAATATCAGGTGCGTTTTAATCATCCGCTTCTGCTTCCGGAATTGTCGGTTTAGTCGTTTTAACCTGTCAGATTAAAACAAGAAAACCGACAATTCCGAAGCAGAAGCGGATGATTAAAACGCACCTATTAAAAATATTGCGCCAAGATGTAGGCAACACGTAATAAGGGTTTAAAATGGCGGAGTTTTCTAACTCCTTTTAAAAGGCACTCAGAAAGCTGCGCAGTGCGACCATTCTCCGTATAGTAAAAGAAAATCAAAGTATGTGCCAATTATATATAGATGGATATTATCTGGTAGGCTAAATAAATAATGACCTAAGATGGACGTCCACTAGACGTCAAAATAATACTAAACTTAAAATTAAGTCCAAAAACAGACGTTTTCTGGACATCGATATGCAGCTGTCAAATGAATGATCATAAACCAATGACATATAATCTATATATGTCATTGTCATAAACGGACGTACACTGGATGTCCGAATACGGATATGGACGTTCCCTCAAATGGATCTATAATGGACGTTCATAGCACTATGTGTGTTGTCTGGGTTAACTGATTAATTTTTAATGAAAATAAGAATGAACGGCGCTTGTTCACACTTTTCATGTTTTGCTGAGTAGATACATCGAGCTGGCCACTTTAAGTTTGTATTCATTATTCGATTCAGCCAAAATGAAGAAAAATTGAACTAGTTTTTACTTTAACTGAAATTAAAAGTATGTTCTCGCGTTCATTTTTGTTCAGTATATCAAACAAATCAGTCAAATTTATAGATATGTCAAACTGCGTCAAAGACGTGGGAATCCCCCTTAAGAAATAATGTAGGGAATGTAATTTCTGTTTGTTGTCAGACCTTGTTTGAGAAGCAAAAACAAAGACAGACTTCATTTCTCCTTTTCCATATTCTTGCAGTGTTGCCAGCCCTACTGTTTTAAGAGTAGATCTACTGTTTTTGTCTCTGTTCCACTATTTTAGGCGTGAAATATACAGGTTTCGCTAACTTAGCAAATTTTGTTCTTAATTTATTACGTTTGCCTCGTTCTTTAGCAAATGTGCAAAGGATATTTTCTCAAGTAAATTTGCTGAAGTCAAATCAGCGTAATAAGTTGAATACAGCCAATATTGTAGGTTTGCGCTACACAAAAAATATTTGACTTCCAGAGAATCATCATGTTTTGATTTAAAATTAAATAAAAAATTAATATTGCAACATAATAAGAATATGCATGACAAACACAACATATTTGAATTATCTGATTCAGGCTGATCTGAAACAAATAGGAAGCTATTATTTTTCATTTATTTTTTTGTCTCCTGACGTTGTTTTACACATTTTATTTATTTTATTCTTTTGTTTAATTTCTATAAATTGGGTATAATTTTTCTTTTTATTATACTGCAAATTATAATTATTTCCCCCTGTATTAAAATCTACTGTTCAATTTTGTTGATCTATTGTTTTTTCCCACCCATCTACTGTTTCAGAAAATTTTCATCTTGCAACACTGTATTTTGGTCATCTTGTCTTTGTTTGTCCTTGACCTTCAAACGTGAACGTGATTCAGAAATGTCAAAATCCAGACAAGAATAATTTTATAGTGGTTATAAACATAGTAGTACCCACTGGTTTTAATTGAATTTAAATTTTTAATCGTTGATAGGATCATAGATATTTGTAGATATTTTTCTACTGGAACATTGCACAGTGACGATGGACCAAATTTATTTTGAAACTTTATAGAATTGATAGGTTATGTATGTGTTAAATAAGAAGACATGCAATTGCAGTTCTCACAGTTACTATTTAAAAATAGTTTCCAAAAAAATGGATTCAGTATTAGATACCTTTTTAAGGAATCCGCTAGACAAAAACAGTACAAGGCGAAGAAGCTGATAGGTTTTTCTAAACTGGAGATATATGAAATAGTAGCAGATGTCCAAAGTTATGATAAGTTTTTACCATTTTGTACTAAGTCAACTGTACTAAGCCATCGACCAAAGGAAATGCGAGCAAATTTAGTTATTGGTTTTCCTCCGATTGTTGAAAATTATGATTCTACGGTTTTATTCGATAAGCCTAATATTGTAAAATCAGTTTGTACTAATGGAACATTATTTTATTATTTAGAATCAACTTGGATATTCCATCCTGGTCTGCAAAGTAATACCAGATCATGTATAATTGATTTTTCTATTAAATTCAATTTTAAATCTGTGTTATATTCTCAAGTAGCTTCATTATTTTTTGATAGACTTGTTCAACAAATGGAAAGTGCTTTTATGAATGAGGCTGCCCGAAGGTATGGAAAACCTTCTATAAAAACTCATATATTAAATGAAACTTTTGCAAATTAACACATAAAATAATTGCATCAAGGTGTATTGAGGGTACATTGGAGATTATGACACTAAATGGAAATAAATCGACAGGATTAAATTAGTTGATGGAAACAAAACTTTATGGAGGTAAGTAAATACTATTCATAATGTTAATATTTTTTGTTTGAGGAATTGCCTGAATTTAGCAGATTTATGGAAATTAAAATATGATTTCACTTATAGGTAATCTGTTGCTAGGGACAAATACCCTCATTAATTGTTCTTTTATACAAAATATTTTGGCAGTTTTTATTAACCTAACAGCCATATTATTCAGGTTTTAATTTTCAATGTTCTTGGGTAGGTTAAAACCGAGCTTAAAACTAAAAATGTCCACAGAGCACTTCATTGTTGAAAACAGTAACTTCTATGTAGAATTTTTAAATTTTAGTAAGTTAGTATAATGGCATCAAGAGTGCTTTAGAAAAACCTGTAGTCGAAAAATTAAATGAATTATTTTGTAGTATATCTAGAGTTTTCTACAGATACTTTTACCAGGTATTTTTTATTAGATAGATAGATATAGAAAAGGTCAACTTTAAAATGGTAAAATTCCAAATTTACCTATAACACCAGATTCCCCAAACATGCACAAATTCTCGAATGGCATACACATTAATTAATTAAATCAAATTCTATTGGAATACCTTCTGGAGTACCTGTTCACCTTTGCTGTTTAACATATTTGTCAATGATATAGATTGCTTAAAATACATAGAGGGTTTAATATTTGTTGATGATTTTAAATTTTATCGATGAGTACAATCATTTAAAGATATGACTAATTCAGGAGGATCTTAATGATTTAAATAATTGGTGTCCAAAAAACAAATTGCATTTGAATGTGGATATGAGTGGTTTTGTAAGTTTTATTTATTTATTTTTTTTTGCTTCAACTGCTATTCCCTTTCGATGGCAAGGAGGGGATATTGCAGTCCACAGTCGGTGATGTAAAATTCTATTTATGTCTATTCAATAGCATTGTTTCTTATACTTGTTTACTAGAGTCAGTATTGTAAAGTTAATGTATTGTATATGCAGGAGTCGCATTTCTTCAATCATTGAGGATCACTTTGACATGGGAAGCCCACAAATTCAACATTATATTCATATAAAGTAATCTACAAGCTATAACTTGTATGTGGAAGAAAGCTGTGGAGGGGCTGGCCACAAGATTGGTGTGCATCCACATGCTTGCAAAAGCCAAACAGTGTCTACACTATCGGTTAACCATCGACGATGTGAAATGAATGAATGTATGATGAGTGGGGAGGAGTAGGGCATCCATATGATGGCACGTTAAGCCACCTGTGCTTCAGTGCCGCCATGCAAACCTCAAAGAGGTGGGAAATCAGTTTGGACCTCATGCATGATTGTGGGGAGTCTACCGGAACCCCTCATGGAGGAGCAGAGGAATGCCTGACAGGGTGGAAAAAAGTGATCAGAAGCTATAACTTGAGAATGGAAGAAAGCTGTGGCACGGTAAATACTGTTTTCAGAATAATCAAATAAAAAGGCATATTGTATGTTAATAATAATTTTTTTTTATTATTTTACCAAAGCTCTTAGGTATTTATAAGTTTCTTATTCTGGAGTATTACTTCCAATCTCACATTAAAGCATCCAGGAAACGCAATAATGCGCTCATGAGCACACACTAAATGGGAGACTCCATGACATTTTCAATATATTGATGTTAATGTGCAGTTTCTCACAGAACATATTATATATTATAATATTATAAAGGTGCGCCATTAAGAACTATACGTATTACTAAACCATATGCACCCTGGTTAACTTATCCATTCAAAATACTAATTAAGGAAAGAAATTTCGCTTTAAGCAAATTTAAATAAACAAGATTACAAACTGACTGGGATAGGTATAAGGTATTAGGAAATTTCACTCTCTTCTCTATACGTCGTGAAAAAAGAGCCTATTTTGACAGCCTGTTTAGGTCCCATAATTCCAAGGATTTATGGAAGGGTCTAATAAACTTTCAGTCCAGAAAGCAAGAAATAACCTAAGTACATTTGTTCTGTTTTTGTTGATAATGAAGTAGATCATGACCTATTTTAATAATTCAACATTGCCTAATTTACATGGAAACAAACTAGCTTTTGATTTTATAACTGTCAGTGAATTTAATAAACTACTCCATGACATCAAATGTAATGCCATGGGTTCTGATGCTGTTTCAGTCTTCATGCTGAAATAATGTAGTTTTCATATTAATAATTACGTTACGCATCTTCTAAACTGTTGTATTCAAAAAACTACTTTCCAATGTCTTGGGAAAAAGCAACTTCCATGAAACTTGAGATTTCAAACGCACATGAAAAGAACGCTCTCGTACTTCTTAATGTAATAAAGTATATATACGGTTGGCGATACCTGTACCCTTTTCTGCTTCTTCTTCAAAAGTCGCGATATGTGCTATCTTGAATTAAAGGACAGAAAAAGGAGAAATAAATTCATAGTCGGACCATAAGGTTTTAGGAATATGTTCATCAAATGTGTAAAGAAAATAAAAGCAAATTTGGCGTGAACAACTATTTTGATACAATTATAAATACATTATAATCTTTTATGAGATTAAAATAAAGAAAATGTAAATATTGTACATTGAACGGCGAAAAAATGTCATCCCCTCTCTCCCCCTGAGTCCCTTATAATTTTTTTGTCAGTATTATACCCAAAAATCGCACACCTTTGGGTTCTGGAGATTTTCGATCCACCCCCACCCCTTCCATACTCCCTCTTCCCTATAGAGAAACAAAATAAGATGTAATCCGATTTTTGTTACTACCCCCCCACCCCTCACAAAAAGGTTGACAGTTGATTTTATAACTGTTATTAATGATTAGAACGGTATTATATTGTCTGCACGTTCTTTGGGAGGGGCATTATGTCACTTCGCCCCTAAAATGTAGGAGGGGGTGAAACATTTTTTCATAATTCGGGTATTTTGAGATATTGGTTAAATAGATAATTAAAAAATATGAAAAATTCGACCCCTTTTTTATATCTTTTCTGGCCTATTAATTATTATTTTCATAACAGCATGCAAGCTGAGGTAGGATATAGTAGAGCGATGAGGGTTACCCACACCCCCTTTTTTAGGGGCCTCAAGAGTAACCTCAAAATTAAAATTTGAAATTATTCACAATCGGTTTAACAAAAATGTGTTTCGTATCAATAAATGAGGGTTTTTAAATTGTGAGTTACTGTTATTTTATTGAATTTATTTTTATTTAATGATACTGAACTATATTGTATTTTAGGTACATAAAAAAGTTTTTGGTCTCAGATATACAACGAACGAATGTATGAGAAGAAAAAAAAAGTTAGAAATATGCAAATGTTTATGTTTTCTTCAAATTTTCAATAATGATTCGACCACTGGGCAGACACTAGTATTCCTAAATAAAGATTAATTCATTCATTCATTCATTCAATTTAACCTCTGAAATTACACAGTACTTTTACTTGACCCCATGTTTTTTATAAACAGATGATGAGCAGATTTCAAAAAAGATGTTTGTTTCAGGTATAGATTAAAAACCAAAAATTATCCAAACCACTTCAGCTATCTCCAGATTGTGATGTATAAACTACAATGTTGTCAGTTTTTGATTTTATTGATAAAATAGTGTAACGGAAAATGAGACAAAGACTGCGATTGAAGTGGCCAATAATAGTTTTTTAATAAATTTTTTTAGCACTCATTGAATTTATGTATAGATGTTTTTAAAATATATCAGTGTTTAAAAATATTTTTTCTACGAACTCTTACAAAAAGACATCTTTCGCCACAGGATACTTTCAGCGAAAACTTGATTTCCGTCACTAGTGAGAAAAAATCACATAACGTTTACTTTCGTCTCTAGTGACGAAAGTAAGTTGTTACATATTTTCATATATCAGTCGCCTCGTATAATATTTTGGCAGCTTATAATTATTAATAATGAAATAAAAAGATGCTCATTAAATTCTATATGCGTTTTTACCTAAACTTTAATGAATTAAAGATAAAATAAAAATGTATAAAAATAGTGCAAATTAAACCAATCTACATCTAGTTTCCTGGTTTTCATTTGTTTATTTGAAGTTTTATCACTTTTGAGAACTGTCAGTTTCAGTTCGTCCTAAATTTAACACATTTTCATGATGTCTGAGTCAGAAAGCGATTGTACTCCCCCAGAAATTATTTTTAAAGCTGAAGAAACCTCTTCAGATTTATTACCGGCCAAATCAAAAAAGAGATATGAAGAAATTTATATCAAATTTTGGACTGGAGAGAAAAAAATAAAGTGAAATCATTTTCGGAAACTGTATTACTAGCATACTTTGGAGAAATATGTTCAAATTTTAAACCGTCGACGTTATGGTCCATTTATTCGATGCTAACTCTCTGTTAAAAATGATGTCGATATTAGTAAATATCCAAAGTTACGTTCGCTTTTGAAAAGAAAATCTGATGGTTTTAAAAGCCAAAAATCCAAAATTTTTTCGCCTGAAGACATAAAGACTTTCCTAAAGAATGCACCTGACTATAAATATTTAATAACAAAGGTAACGGAATTATTATTTTTATTTTAACAAATACTTAATACATAACTACTAATATTTGTAGGTAGCATTAGTTTTTGGATTATCTGGCGCTTGTCGTTGCCACGAACTAAAAGATTTAACAATAAGCGATGTAAAGGATACTGGAAGTATTCTGTTAGTTAAAATCCGTAATATAAAAACAAAAGTTCCGCGTTCTTTTCATATTTCTGGACCCTTTTATGATATTTCTAAAAAATATATGAGCCTACGTCCCGCAAACATGGATCAAATTAATTCAAGATTCTTTATTAACTATCAGAATGGAAAGTGTAGCAGACAGGTTGTTGGAATTAAAAAAATCAGTAAATTTCCTAACGAAATTGCTCAGTTTTTAACGCTTCCGAATCCTCAAGATTACACTGGGCACTGTTTCCGCAGAACATCCGCAACGCTAT